GCTTAATAATCAGGTTCGCTAATTTAAAGCAGAGATTCATCTTTGTTCTCTCAGAGTCATAGACTCATACAGCACGGAAACAGGCCTTTCTATCCAACCAGTTCATGCTGACCATAATCCCAAACTAAACTACTCCCACCTGCCTGTGCTTAGCCTGTATCCCTCAAAACACTTCTTATTCATCTACTTATCCAAATGTCTTTTAAACATTATAACTGTGAATTGAGTGTCTTTGGAATTTTCTTCCTGAAAAGGTATGGAAGTAGAGTCCTTGAATATTTATAAGATAGAGGTGGAGAGGTATTTGTTAGCAGAGATCGGGGGAATATGGATTTCAGTGACAATCAGATCAACTAGGATCTTATTGAATGGAAGAACAGGCTCGAGGGGCTGAATGGCCTACTCCTGTTTCTGATTAATTTGTTTGTATGTATAAAATGACATGGAAGGAAACAATGTTTTTCAGTGTATACTGTTTTTACATTATTGGATAAAAAGTTACTTTTTTCTCAGATCGGAAACAGAAGATGCATCACTCTCCCTTTAATATAAAATTTGTGCATGAGATTGAGTTTAACTTTCCAAGTAAATGCATAACAGAGATTGCAGTTAGCATCTAGATATGTATATTTCATACTTATAGCAATCTCTTTCCACAATTAACAGTTTTTATATTTGGACGAAGGATTAAGGTCCACAATACAAGACATCATCAGAACTGAACAGAGATCAGAATAGTAAATTCCCCTGTTCCATAATATAAGGAAGGTCAATTATTATTTTTTAACTCACCAAGGTACCCAAACACACAACTCGCTAGAATAACTGACACAACTCGAGCATATACCTCCACCTCCAAGGTCCCCTCCAAGCCACTCAGCATCCTGACTTGGAAATATATCACTGTTCCTTCACTGTCGCTGGGTCAAATTCCTGAAATTCCCTCCCTAATGACATTGTTGGTCAACCTACAGCAGGAGGACTGCAGCAGTTCAAGAAGGCAGCTCATCACCACTTTCTCAAGGGCAACAAGGAATGGGCAAGAAATACTGGCCAGCCAGTGATGCCCATATCCCATAAATGAATAGGAAAACAAATATATCACCTAGGTGACACTTCACTGCCATATCAAGGGAGTCTTACACTGTCAGAGGAGTCGTCATTCTGATGACACTTTAAGTGGTCTTCCCTTCATTATAAGGACAACATTGCAGTAATTGCAGTCCTTAGTCCTATTTGCAACACTTCAGAAAATGAAGCTGTCCACTCCGACACACGGCATGACCTGGGCAACATTCAGCTGTGGCATGTAACATTTGTGTCAGAAAGTATCAGGCAAAGAACATCTTTAACGAGTGAGGATCTAACAATCTCCCCTCGACATTCAATGACGTTACCACTGCTGAATCTCCCACCATCGACACTTTGGGGGATGCCATTAACTGGAAACTTAACTGGACCAACTCCATCTGGTTCACTAATGTTCTTTAGGGAAGGAATCTGCCATCCTTACCTGGTCTTGCCTGCATGTGACTCAGACCTACAGCAATGTCCTCTGGACAATTAGGAATGAGTAATAAATGCTGACCTATCCAGCGATGCTCTCATCCCATGAATGAATAAGAAAATGTATAAATACTGCAGACCCAAAAGGGCAAGTCAGAGGGTGGAAATTCTTTCGTAACTCACTTCCTGACTCCTCAAAGTCTGTCCACCATCTACAAGGAACAAGTCAGGAGTGTGATGGAATACTCCCCACTTGCCTGGATGAGTGCAGCTCCAACAACATTCAAGAAACTTGAAACCATCCAGGGTAAAGCAGCTCACTTGATTAGCATCACATTCACAAACATTCCCTCCCTCCACCACTCATGCTCAGTACTTAGTATTGTTTACAATCTACAAGATGTCCTGCAGAAATTCTCTAAGGCATTTAGACAGCATTTCCTAAACCCACGACCACATCTAGAAGGGCAAAGGCAGTTGATATGTGGGAACACCATCTCCTGCAAGTTCCCATCCAAACCAGTTACTATCCTGACTTGGAAATATACGGCTGTTCCATCTATGTTGCAGGATCAAAATCCTGGATCTCTGGGTGCACTGAAGGGTCACTGGACCTGAAATGTTGACTCTGTTTTCTCTCCATGGATGCTGCCAGACCTGCTGAGGTTCTCCAGCAATTTCTGTTTAAAGTCAGTTCACATGCTGACTGAGGTAGCTCATGGGCCCTGTTTTCTCACCTTGCCCTATAGAGATATAGAGGACAGTCACAGGTTTCACACTGAGACAAGGAGACGTGATAGTAAATGTGAAAAATACCCTTCAAACAACACCATAATGGAAGAGAGAGAGAGAGGAAAATTGAAACGTTTGGAGAGGGAATTCCAGAATTTAGGGCCTAGACAGCTGAAGGCATGGCTGCAAATTTAAACAAGGGTGTACCAAAGACCCAAGTTGCAGGAATGCAATGTTGTAGGACTGGAGGAGCACAAGAGATAGGGAGGACTGACACAAAGGTGAGAGGTGTTAGTGGTCCAGGAGAAAATACAGGTTATTGAGCACAGGGGAGATAGGCAAATGGGATTTGGATGAGCTCAAATGTGTATTGGTGAAAGATGGGAGCAAAGCCTGGAAAGTGCTAGAATATTCAAGTCTGGAGGCAACAAACAATGGAAAAGGTTTTTAGCAGCTGATGGCCCAATGAAGAGTTGGAGATGGATAAGAATACAACATTGGTAAAGGCAGTCTTTCTGATGCAGGGGTTATGAGGTTGGAACTTCAACTCAGGATCAAATAGGAGTTGCAGCTTGAATCAGGGATTAGAATCATAAAATCCCTATATGTGGAAAGAGGCCATTCGGCCCATCGAGTCCTCACAGCCCTCTGAACAGCATCACACCTAAACACAAATCCCCTCCCCTATCCCTGTAACCCTGCATTACCACGTAACCTACATATCCCTAGACACTGTGGGCAATTTAGCACGGCCAATCCACCTAACCTCCAGATCTTTGGGCTGTGGGAGGAAACTGGTGCACCCAGAGGAAACTGTTGCAGACATGCGGAGAATGCGCTCAACACAGACAGTCACCCATGGGTGGAATCGAACTCAGATCCCTGGAGCTGAGAGGCAGCAGTGCTGCTCCAGTTGGAGTTGGAGATGGAATTCCTGATGAAAGAACTGACCTTTTGGTTGCAGCTTTGGCCTTCCCAATGCTTAGCTAACAGAAATCCAATATTGGAAAAGCAACCTAATGACATGTGACAACACAACACCAACGCAGTGAAAGGTTCAGCACGGTGACGATGATTTTCAAGTGAACATTGCTGGCACACAATGGGACCTGACACCATGTCTTCAAATGAAGATACCAAGGAGCCACATATTGATGGGAAACAGAAACCAGCCAAGGATAGACCAGGACCTGGAGATAAAACTGCAGGCATGGGAAGAGAAGTCACTGCAGGAGATTCTCTGGCTATGACTGAAGATTGAATAGATAAGAGTCAAACCACCCACAAAACAAAATGGAAAGGTTTTGGAACAGGATTGTGCAGTTGATCATGTAAAAGGCTGCAGGCTGGCAGAGATGGATGAGGTGGGATAATGCACCATGATCACAGTCAACAGATATGTACACTGCGTCTCTGAAGGCCATAGCAAAGGGAAAACCCCTATAGGAGGGGCCCAATCATGAATGGATGGACATGGTTTTGGGAAGAGGACATGTTCAAGGTCTTTGGTGAGGAAAGGGCAGTAAAATGATGCAGCAGCTTGCTAGGACAAAGGAGCCAATGGTGGGTTTCCTGAGATAGATGATAATAGCTGAGTTAATGGGGAGAAGAGAGCCCTGAAGTGAGGGACTCTTATAATATCAGCTAGTGATGGGGGACAGGAAGGGAAGTGATCGTCATCAGTTTAGTGGGAATAAGGTCACAGCAGCGATGTCGATGGAGAAGATGAGCTTGGAGAAGGCATCAGGGGAGATGGCGAGAAACTAGAGAAAGATATTGGGTTCAGGGTTAGAAGCAAGTGGAAACATTGGGGATTGGGAGAAGCTTCCCTTGGATATGGGGAAGAGAGGGACCCAGCGGAAGCAGCTAATCGAACAGTCTCATGTATAGTGATCAAGAAGTCCTTTAGCAACACCTAGTCATTGGTGAAGCTGAGAAAGCATGCACTGTCCATAATGTGTATACAGAACAATTTCACACCTTCATTTTCTTTTCCTGCTTTCATCCTTTTCACTGGAGATACTAACTTATACTGGGACTCACTGTGTGGAAGTTTCCTGTCCTGTAGAAATTTCCCCCAATTGACCAGTTATCATTTGAGACATCAAAGATATTCTTTGTATGTGCAGCCTCACCCTTCAACACTGTGGAAGAATCTGGTGCAATCATCAGCAATTGGAACTCATCTTATATATAATATAGAAACTTTAAAAACCAATTGTGAAGAATTAAAAACAACTTAATATATATTGGTACGTACACATCTAACTATACCAGAAAGTGCTGAAGAAAATCAGCATGTTCGGCAGCATCAATAGAGAGAAAAACAGAGTTAATGTTTCAAATCTAATATCCCTTCCTCAGAACCTTTAAGAATTTCTTTAAGAAATCATACTAAACTGAAAAATTAACTGTTTCTCTCTCTCCATAGATGCTGCCAAACCTGTCGAATTTCTCCAGCAATTTCTATTTTTATTTCAGATTGCCAGCATCCGCAGTAGTTTTTTTTATAATACACAAGATAAAATCAGCTGTTCACATTTCCTTGAACAGTTGATCTTTTAAAATAAGTTTTGATCCCTTTTTTTGCAATCTGTTCTCTTAAAAAAAAGGCTGTATAATGTATTCAGTGTCTTCTTCCCCAGTCTCTATCTCATACTGATCCATCTCAATTTATTTATTTTTCTGTTACCAAATTTGTCGTGTTTCCCCTCCTTAGCTGTCACAGTTCTCTTTCCAAACCAAGCACTGTATCAGACTAAACTGCATGAGATTGTTTCCCGGGGAGTTTGAAAGTGTTGCACCAGCCTGTAGGGCTGTTTTCAGTCTTTTTTCAGTGAAGGAACCAGCAGAGATTAGGGTCACAGACACCCAAATAGAATGTGAGCCAAAGACAATTATACGTATTGTCATACAATAAACTCCCAGAAAAGCAGACAGATTTCCAAACACTCACAGATATGTATGCTATGTAACTGCAGATAAAGTAACTAACACACAAAAGGTAACAGACACATAGACAGACACTCACACCCACAGGCTGCCGCCCTTTTACAGAGTCACTGACCTCCCGGGGCCTTCTCTCCTTCAATTACAAAACATCAAGTTTTGCAACTTTAGGCAAGTTTCGCAAGTCTCTCTTTAATCCTCTGCCATTTCCACAGACTCCACATTCTAGCCCTTTGCTGCCCTGCCTGTTCTAGCTTTACTCCTCCCTGTAGCTTAGCCTTGTGCCGCGTTCAGCCCTTGTGTCAAAGTGAATCTCTTGTGCAGCCAGAGCATGGGGACTCCGGAAGCCTGGAAGAAGTGGATACTGCTGTTCGCGATCTTCACACAACGATCTGTTGAAGGTGAGACTGTGTCCTCACTGAGTACAAGTGAGCGCCAGAGTTCAAACTAACAGCCTTTAAAGTTTTATTGATGTCTTTCCAATACCTGAACTGTAACTTTGCCCCCCCTCCATTAATACCCCTGGAAACAACCTGATCTCCAGAACCACAGTGTGTGTAACTGTGGGGAAGATTGAGGGCAGGGACAGGGAACTGATAATTCTTAAATTCCCAACAGTCCAGCATTAGTCCTTCAGATGCATTGAAGAAAATACTAGCAAGTGGCAAAATCATTTTGGCAGTTTGATTAACCACAGTTACTTTGTAAACCCCAAAATCTATAATTCCATATCTCAATATGTGAAATATTTGTGTATGTGCATTTGCATATGCTTGCAATATTTTGATACATGTGCCTGATTATACCAATGGCTGCATTCTGTAATTCTTAACTGGTTGTAAAGAACGCCTAGAAGTTTTCAGGTTGTGAAAAAGTTTAAAACTAAGTCTTTATTTTTCTCATCTAAGCAAACTGGAAAAAACATGTTAGCAAAAGTAGTCCTGGTGAGGATTTCATAGAATGCAATTTCTCAGAGAAGCATGTCACCAGAGAGCAGTTTACACTAACTTTGTTACTATGTAATGTGACAGGATTAATTAATGACCTTAGAGCCAAGGCACCTTTAGGCAACAGTGATCATAGTATCTGGTTTGAAAAGGAGCAGAATGGGTCAAAAACTTAAACTTTTAAACTTAAACAAGGGCAACCATGTGGATATGAAAGCTGAGCTAGCTGAAATGAGCCAGGATATGAGGCTAGGAAATGGATCAGTAGAGAAGCTGTGGCAGACATTTAAGGGGATATTTCAGAATACTCAGAATAAATACATTATACTACAAAGAAGTCCTAAAGGGAGGATATGGGCCAAATGCAAGCAAATGGGTCTAGTTTAGTTTGGGAAACTTGGTTGGCTTGGACGAATTGGACCAAAGGGTCTGTTTGCTTGCTGTATGACTCTATGACCCATCATCTGTGATTAACTAAACACGTTAAGGAAAGCATAAAACTTAAGGAAAACCATATACTTGCACAAAAGTGAGTGGCAGGTCAGGTAGCTGGTCAGAATATAGTGAACAACAGAAATTGCTAAAAGGTTAATCAGGCCAAGTAACTTAGAACATGAGAGGAAGCTAGCTAGAAATGTAAAAACAGGTCATAAGTGTTTCTGTGGGATCCTAAAAAGGAAAAGAATAGGTAAAGTGAGTGTTGATCCTCTAAAGGTTGAGAATAGGGAGTTAATATTGGATAATAAAGTCAAGATGTGGAAAGGACGTTTCCTTTTGTAGGTGAGCCCAGAACTCGGCAATACTGTTTTAAAATTAATGACCACCCTTTCTTTTAAGGCAGAGATGAGGAATTCTGTTTTCTCTCCAGGGAGTTGAATGACTTTGAAACTCTGTGTCTCAGAGGTGAGGAAGGTGGGGTCATTGAATATTTTTAAGGCAGAGTTGGATAGGTAGGGGAATCAGAGGGAATGTGGAATTCGGAATACAAACATGAACACAATCAGATCTGATCTTTCAGGAATTTTTCTTCCTTGAACTTAGTGCAAAGTAGAAAAAAAGTATACAATCAAATGTAAAGTGTTCCTTTTTCTTCCTGCAATTTGTACTTAAAATATTCCTCAGCAAGCTGAGTCTGACAGGTTAAATAGGACGTCATGACACGGATTTATTGTTAGGATTATTGTTATTAGTGGATTTAGAATGAATAATGCCTGAAACTACAGTCAGGGATGAAATAGAGTAACAGTGCATGATTAAGTAAATGGATGAGGCTAACTGAAGACATTGAGTACATTACCCTGTGTCTTATAAAACAGAGCACAATGTTCACTTGGTTAAGGACATAACCCTTCCACTGCTAAAGGCTGCAGGGATTGTCAGCAACTTATGTAGAGATAAGGAGGAAGTGTAGAAGATGATTAGATTGAATTGTTTAATTTCAAATTAACTTTTACTCTTCCATCTCCACTGTCAAGTAACTGTGAGTGTCTTTAATAATTCAGTAGAAAAATTGCGCTTGGTTTCATTCAGTTGGGACATTGTCCATCATTCTACGCTAGTATTGGTTCTCATCCTGTAACATCTCCTTCCTGGTAAACTCTGCAATCTAATTTCCCAGCCATCCATTCAACCTCGCCAATTCGCATGATCTGTCTACTCCTGTGACCTTAATCAATGACAAGCTTAACTCCAACTGCATACCTGACCATCCCAATCCATGGATCCCCTTCAGACTCCGTTCATCACCCCTCTATCTTGCAGCCATGAAATGTCCAACACTCATGGAGCAAATGAATGATTTTCAACTCTTTCCAAACTCTCGTCACCACCTTTCCCCATCCATTAATCCCTCTTTTGGATCAGATGCACTATCGCCCTCATCTCTAGCCTCCGTTTCCCCTCCAAATAACTTGAAAAACATTGCTGTCTCCCAAATCAGTGCTCATCTTCCTCGGGACCACCCGTTTGCGTCTCATCTTTTAGCTTTCCATCCCCTTCCACAGCTGCAAAGTTCTTCTTGCCAAGCTCACAAGGGATATTCTTCTGGCTGCAACCATGGTAACAATGAACTTTTCATTGTTTTTCAGCCTTTGACTCCATCTTCTTCCCCACCCATTCTTCACTGTGTAACTTGGTGTGACTGCTCTTGTTTGGCTCTGCTTCTAACGATCAAATCATAGCCAGACCATCTCCAATGATGGCCACTCCCAGTCCCAAAACTATCTCTCAAGTCTCTCAGCAATTTGCAGGAGTGTGTTGCGATGGCCCAATGGTACTATTGTTCAGCTATTAACCAGAAACCCCTTTCGTGTTCTGGGGACCTGGGTTCGACTCCTGCCATGGCAGATGGTCAAACTCAAATTCAATTTGGCAGAAAAAAAATCTGAAATTAGGAGTCTAACATTGACCATGAAACCATTGTCAATTGTGAGGAAAAATCTATCTGGTTCACTAATGTCCTTTAGGCAAGGAAACAGCTGTCCTTACCTAATCTGGCCAGTGACTCCAGACCCGCAGCAATGTGGGTGACTCTTAACTGCCTTCTGGACAATTAGAAATGGGCAATAAATGCTGATACAGCCAGAGACATCTACATCCCATGACAGAATTAAAAAAAAACTCTCATATTCCGTCCTTCTCAACTATATAAGCTGCCTCTAATGTAACTGCCCCTCTGGACCAGGTTGGTTAAAATTATTTTAATCGGCTTGTCCAGAGATGTTATTACATATCTCTGGAGCAGGTGCGACATGACCCTCCTGGCTCAGAGGTAGGGACACTACTACTGCACCACAGAACCCCGAAACTGACTATATATGGAGATGTCAAGTTCCTGCCACCTTGCTGTGAGGCTGATGTGAATGTCCAAAGAATTATTAATGATTTTATTGACATCATATGTATCAATAGAACATGATGTGGAGATGCCAGTGTTGGACTGGGGTGGACAAAGTCAAAAGTCACATGACACCAGATTGTAGTCCAACAGACGAAGGGGCAGTGCTCCAAAAACTTATGATTTGCAAAAAAAATCTGATGGACTATAACCTGGTGTTGTGTGACTTTTGACTCAGTAGAACATAACCTGGGACTTTAGACCAACACAGAGAAAGAGTTTTTATCTTATTCAAATACTGAATAGATGTGAGCAAAATAGAGAACTTAAAACATGTTTAAAACAAATAACACTCTTGGTTAGAATCGATGCCATGAACTCATGTAAGTAAGTGAAGTAATTTTTGCAACAAATGTTTGTTTAGACAAAATACAACCACTTTGTACTTGTTCCCCCCTTAGCACAAGCTGTTGGTCTTGCATACAAATCTGGTGCATTGTTTACATATAAGTACAATGTGGATTTGTTATTGGAGACATTATCCAGTCCAGCAACATTGCCAGGATCGGGATTCAGGATTGAAGCTGTCGTTGGGCTTCATGTGGTTTGGGAAAACAGCAGCAACCAACATGAGCAGCTTGTTCAGTTGCAAGTACGTACATTATCTTTCTCCATTTTAATGCCTGGAATCTGCCTTAAATTCTTCCATGGCCTCCCAACCTCTGTAAAACCCTCTGGCACAACAAACTTTTAAGAACTCCACATTATCCCAATTCAGGCTTTCTTAATTTCTGAGATTTTCATTGCTCCAACATTCACAGCTGTGTTTTCAGATTCCAAACTTCAAATTTTGGAATTCCCAGTTGCATAAATGATTTAATGTTTTATTTGATGAATGTTCAAGTGCTACTAACAGTGCAGAAATGTTAGTACATTACAGATTTAATTTCAATTGAATGTGCTTTACAATGATTGCTAGACGCTTCAATAGTCTTCTAGTTGGAATCATCCACTTAATCAGATAGACTGGGAAACTGGGATGCTTCTCCTTTGAGCAGGGAGAAGATTAAGGGAAAGGTTCAAACCTGCGATAGAGTCACAGAGCTGTACAGCAAGGAAACAGACCCTTCAGTCCCATTCGTCCATGCTGACCACATTATCCTAAATTAATCTAGTCCCATTTGCCAGCATTTGGCCCATATCCCTCTAAACCCTTCCTATTCATATACCTATCCAGGTGCCTTTTAAATGTTGTAATTGTACCCCCTCCACCACTTCCTCTGGCAGTTTTCATTCCATACATGCACCACTGTCTGCATGAAAAAGTCACTGCTTAGGTCCCTTTTAAATCTTTTCCCCTCTCACCTTAGACTTATGCCATCTAGTTTTGGACTCCCCCAACCAGGGGGAAAGACCTTGGCTATTCACCCTATCCATGCCCCTCGTGATTTGATAAACCTCTATAAGGTCACCCCTCAGCCTCCACCACTCCAGCCTATACAGCCTTTCCCAATAACTCAGACCATCCGATCCCGGCAACATTCATGTAAATCTTTTCTGAACCCTTTCAAGTTTCACAACATTTTTCCTCGAGTAGGAAGGCCAGAACTGAATGCAGTATTCCGAATGTGTAAATGTGGAGAAACAGTTTTCGGTGAAAGAACGGTTAAGCACAACATGTGGATATTTAATGTAGCTGGCCAAATAACTGGAAGGGATAAGAGGGGGTAAAAGATGCAACAAGTTATCCTCAATTAAAATGAAAGTATTGGAGGCAGATTCAGTAATAACTTTAAAAAGGAAAAAGAGCAGGAGATTGTAACTAATTGGTTTGATTTCACAAAGAACCAGCTAAGGTACTGGTGGCTAAGTGGCTTCCTTCTAAGCTTTGTAACGCGGAGCTTCTATGCAATTAGTGTTTGCTTAGGAAGTAATGAGCTGTAATTTTAGACAGAGTAAGAAGTCTTGCATCTGCAGCACTCGTAACAAATCAACAGGTGCTAAATGCTATGACACTTTGATTTCAATCATCATTTTCCATTGTGGCTGCCTCTGCCTTGCTCAACAGATTGAAGAAGTACAATTGTTAAATGTGTCAGAACGAATGGGCAGTCAAAACACCTTTAAAGATATTCCCACTGAGTCTTTGCTGGGGCCTACTGTGACAAAAGGATTGAAAACGCCTGTAATGTTTCACTGGAAAAATGGAAAGGTAATTACTTTTCTCATTTAGTTCCATTTTCCAAATTAGGGTAACGGATTGCATCTGGTGATGTGACAAGCATTTTCTCACTTAGCCAGCTTCAAATAAAAGGCGGATTTGGTATGAAATTTAACTTGGGCAATGACAGGAAATGGAGAATGGTAAATTCAGAAGATATTTTGTCCTTCAGCCTGATTTTCTTTCCCTTTTTTTAAACAATCATGCTTTTTCACTGTTGTTCCAAGTAAGCATCACCCTATTAATTAGTTCTTAGCTTAATAACAATTGATGGGTTAATAGATCTGCCTCTGATCCTAGAGCTTCGAAGAACAAAAAATAATCTGACTGAGCCATACAGAATTCTTTAGGGGCTTGACCTGATTGATTGTGGGAGAATGGTTGCCTCTGGCCAGAGAGTCTGGAACTCAGAATCTGTCTCAGAGTAACGGTTTGGCCATTCAGCACTGAGATAAAGAGCAATCCCTTCATTCTAAGGGCTGCACATCTTTCGAATTTTCTGTGGCAGAGATGGTCAATCAGGTTTAGGTTTCTAACCAGTAAGGGATATAGGGATAGTGCAGGAAGGTTGCTGAATGGGGAATAAGTTCAAGAGCCAAATGACATCCTCCGACTTGTGTTTTTTTTTTAACCATTTCTCTGTTTATGAGATCTAAGATGATTTTTATAAGAGAAATTTAATATCTATTGCCCAGTGATGTGATTTCTGTGTCCATGGACTGCACAGATCTCATGGACTCAAGCCTGCATTTTTCTAAACTCACTGTTTCTGCCTACCAGGAGATTGATAAATCTGTACTTAGCTAGACTGTCCCTCCTTTGAGTCTGCTGCATCTCCATCTCTACCTTATCTAAAAGTGACAATTGCCTGACTCTCGGGAATTCCAATAAACTCTTTAGTTACATTCCATTACACAGAATATGAGCTAAAGCTCCCAAGTAAAGTTCTTCCATTCTTATTTTCTTAGAGTCTCAGTAGCATGTGATTAATTGTTGTTGTCAAGTTGAAGTTAAGGCTGTTAGAGAAATGGAACTCAGACCAGCATCCTTGTGGATGGGGTTTATTGACTTCTCAGTCACACAGCTCATGTCACCCCCTCACAATCAACTGGTCCTCCTTTAGATTTTTTTTTTCTAGTCAACCTGTGCAGAGATCAAACACTCTGGAGCAGTTTTGATTTGAACCTGGGCTTCCTGCCTCAGAGGTAGTGGCAATACCACTTCGCCACAAGAGCCCTAAATGTTCCCCTGTTTATATTTCCTCAAATTAACTAATTAATCCCCAGTTATCAGCATAAAACCTGCTGTACTGACAGATGTCTAAACTCTTGTCGACCATATCAATACCATTTAACATTTTCATTCTTATTGTTCTACACTATTGACAGGTTAACCCCAACTTTTTTTAAACTGTGATGATTTTTGATGGTTACCAGTGTGTTAATTTGTGAGCTTTCCGGAACTGTGTTTGTCATTGTTTATTTGGCGTGATGCTGGATGAATGCATTTTGGAAATTTCAAGTCTTGCAGTGATAATCTGTTTCATATTCCTTTCAGATGGAGGCTCTGTATGGCTCTGTTGATGAAACAGGATTCATTTTAAACCTAAAGCGAGGCCTGGTCAGTCTTTTCCAGCTCCAGCTGAATTCTGGTACCATCACTGAGGTAACCTACTTATTTCAGTTGAACAAATTTTGGTTTCCACCCTTGCTTTCTCTTCTAATGTCTGTTTCTAAAAAGACCTGGCTGTGTGCATCATAGCTGCTATAGTAGGGGTGGCACAGTGGCTCAGTGGTTAGCACTGCTGCCTCACAGCGCCAGGGTCCCGGGTTTGATTCCACCTTCAGGCGACTCTCTGTGTGGAGTTTGCACATTCTCCCTGTGTCTGCATAGGATTACTCAGAGTACACCAGTTTCCACCCACAGTACAAAGATGTGCAGGTTAGGTGGATTGGCCATGCTAAATTGCCCATAGTGTCCAGGGTTGTGTAGGTTAGCCATGGGAAATGCAGGGTTATGGGGATAGGGGCAGGGAGTGGGTCTGGGTGGGTGCTCTTTAGGGGCGGGGCGATGTGGACGCGATGAGCTGAATGGCCTGCTTCCACACTGTAGCGATTCTATGATTCTATCGTCGCATCCGTTACAGAAACAAAACTCGCACTTTCATTTCTCTGCATTCTTTGTTTCTGTCCCATGTATTTGTAAAGCAGACCCACATACGTGTCCACGTAAACACACATGCATATGTTTGTGCATGAGTGCATACTCGTATATGCGCACACGCAAACACACACATGCAACCTTGCATTGCCATTGTCGGTAACACATGCTGCTCAGCTGTTTTGCAGTGCTGTGTGTGCTGGCACATGCTACTGTCTGTGCAAATGCTTAGTAAAAAAGGAAACTTTTACTGGCACCTCATGAACCAGCAAAAATCATGTAGCTCAAATACCGCGAAGTTTGCGGTGTTAATCTGTGCAATTATTATGGTTTATAAAAATTTATTTACCTCAATGTAAATATCCTTATTGTTCAATCGAATGGCCACACAAAATATCAACAGTTGATTCAATTCTAAGTTAATTTCTCCTCAAATCTCACAATGTCCAAGTGGTCAGTTGAGGGTGTGAGTGAGAAGGCTCTCTGCTGGTAAGTTTTATTTAAGGCAAAGTTGCATTATTATTTAAATGATTTATGCTGTAAGCAAAGTATAATGGTGATGTGTATACTCGCTGCACTACATTGCTATTAGTCAGTGTGTGTGTTTTTACATCGATTATATGTACCCCTTGTTTGTCTAGAATATTTCATCATTCTGGTCCTAGCCTTGCTGGTTAATAAAAAGTTTGCTGCATTAAGATACAGAAGGGACTGAGGGGCTGAATGGCCTGAAATTTTGCATAGAGTTTTGCACATGCCCATTGTTGGGGTTTCATTGGGCACTAAGATACCAGCAGTTTTACCTGCGCCAAAGCTGCAGATTTGGTTTGGGAGAGGTTCCATTCCCATGCTGTTCTCTTCAGTTCTGTCATTGGGCAGCACGGTGGCTCAGTGGTGCCTCACTGCTGCCTCACAGTACCCAGGGACCCGGGTTTGATTCCACCCTTGGGCAACTGTCTGTGTGGAGTTTGTACATTCTCCCCGTGTCTGCGTGGGTTGCCTCCGGGTGCTCCAGTTTCCTCCCACAGTCCAAAGAGGTGCAGGTTAGGAGGATTGGCCATGCTAAATTGCCCATAGTGTCCAGGAATGTGTAGGTTAGCCATGGGAAATGCAGAGTTATGTGGATAAGGTAGAGGGTGGGTCTGGGTGGGGTGCTCTTCCGTGAGTCAGTGTGGATTCGATGGGCCAAATAGTCTGCTTCCACAATGTAGGGATTCTATGATTCTATGGATCACAGTGTAGGCGTATTTGCTTCTTTATTAAACAGAATTTGATGGTCAGTGAGTCAGTGTTCCTGTTCTCAACATGAATCAGCGTGGTATTGTAGGAGTAGGAGTTCTGAGCAAGGATCTTCGTGTTCCTGTTTGCCTGTTCTCCAATTCATTTAGGGTCCTCCTTGTGGTTTATTTTACCTACTTGATGCAGTGTGAATTGTGAGCTGTTCCTGCACTTGAAGCAAAAATATAGATAAATTGAAACATTTCTACATAAGAGATGTGAAATCAAACCTATTCCTGTTGCACTCATCAGGACTAACACGCAAGGAAACCAACTTGACAAATACATTGCTGTTGACATTAAAGGTATTGTTTTAATTTATTTGCGATCATTTTCTGTTAGCTTCAAGGTGTTAGATAATTACTGCTGTGGCTACTGTACCTGCATATATCTACGTCTCCTTTACTTTGGCAAGAACAAATGCAGGCTGGATGATTGCCTTCCTGAACACCTCTACTCTGTCTGTAAGAATGACTGTAACCTTCCAGTTGCTTGCCATTTTAATAAACCATTGTGCTGGCACGCTAACATTTCCATCTCCTTCCAGTACCTTTCCAAGCAAACAGCCTCCAGAGATTACCATTGTCACTCGTCCTTCATCAGGGACAGTGTCCACCGCCACCATCATGTATTGCTCGTGGTATTTGTTGAAATGCCCAGGATGCTGTGACCCACTGACTAATTCACCATACAGGAGGCCTGCTATGGTGTTCTATTGAAGCTGGTTGAACACCACCTCATTTTCAGCTTGGGCATTTTGTGGCCTTCAGGACTCAACATTGAGTTTGACAATTTCAGAGCATGGAGCTGTTTCTCTTTGTCCATTTTGATTACGCAAACCCTCAAAACATCCCCTGCCACCTCCTGTCTTGTACTTGTCTTGTTGGCTTTGCCTTCAGCACAGCAGACCCATTCTCTCCTTTTCATACTGATCATTAACATTTGTTTCTCTTCTCTATCTCCCCTTTGCTTCCCTAAGGGCCCCCTTTGTCTTTTGCTATTTCAAGATGGTGCCAGCATGGTTGATAGTGTTCGAGCTCATCAGAGCCTGTCCACTCCAGGCTGGTGGCATCATTCTTTTCATCTGTATTTTTCATCTGTTTTTCTTTTATTCTTCCTTCCTTCCTTCTTCTTCTTCGAGGCCGGAACGGTGTCAGCAGGATGGTGGCTGCAGCATCAGTGGCGTGAACAGTGGTAGGCCCAGAGCCTGGACTTCCGGCAGCAGTGGTACTGGGACTGGGGACTCTTGATGACGGTAGGCCCAGAGCCTGGACTTCTGGCGGCAGTGGTGCTGGGATTGGGGACTCCTGATGACGGTAGGTCCAGAGCCTGGACTTCTGGCGGCAGTGATGCCCAGAGCAGGGTCACCTGGTGGTAGTATGCCCGGAGCCTGGATTCTTGGCAGTGTTGATGAGGCGACAACAGCGTCTTCTGGGGTATCAGAGTCGTTGCTGTTCCCGGAGTGGGACACCTTGAGGCCCACCTTACAGAAACCCTGAAGCTGTGTTTAATACCCCAATTTGAACAGCTGATGAACTCTTATTTAAATAATTTCTTTTCAACCTCAAAATGGCAACAAAACACTTTTGACTGTATCTTCAAGACAGATGTGACAATAAATAAATCAGTCATTCATTTATTTGCTGTGGGCACCCTCCTCTTTCGTTCCATTTGCTCCTTTATCGGCAAGATAAAAACCATCATTTTCTCATCTCTGAAGAGGAACCATATTGGACTTGAAACGTTGACTTAGTTTCTGTCTTCACAGATGCTGTAGGGTTTGCTGGCTTTCACCAGCATTTCCTACTTTTATTTTGGATTTCCAGCGCCCACTGAACTTTTGCATGCATCCAGGCCTGTTGTTTTTAAAATATCAGGTACATTGTTGTGGAAATTCTCAACAGATCACCAACTCAGAAGTACTTGCTTGTACCATTGGCATGCATTCATTGCTAAACCAATGATTTCTGCAAGGATTGATCACATTTATCAGAGGGACAATCCCTTCCCTTCCTAGGAGCCTGTGGACCCTGATGTACCCCCTGTGTCACAGGCCCCATGTATCAGAATAGGACTCCTGGATAATGTCCAGAGCAGAAATCACCACCAGGGCACAAACCATCGCTTTACAAGATGGGAACTACTACATACTATATAAATTTCGCAATGATTATCAACTTTCTATCTCTTTCTTTCTTCAGAGAGTTGTGAACACAACACGGTCCATCACGCAAGCCAACCTTCCATCCATTGACTCCATCTCGCTGATGTGAAAAGGCTGCCAACATCATCAAAGGCCCCTCCCACCCCGATTATAATCTCTTCCAACCTCTTCGATTGGGCAGAAGATACAAAAGCTTAAACACACGTACCAAAATGTTCAAGAATAACTCCTTCCCTGCTGTTATTAGACTTCTGAATGGACCTCTCAAATTTCAAATCTAATGTCAATCCTGCTCCTTGTGCACCTTCTTTGTAGCCGTAACATTGTATTCCTCACTCTGTTCAATCACCTTATGGTCTTTGTATGGTGTGATCTACCTGTACTGCATGCAAAACAAAACTTTTCACTGTACCTAGGTACATGTGACAATAGTTCATCAAATCAAATCAAATCAAAATGTTGATGAAAGGAGGACCACAAACAACGTACACTTAAGAACCAGCCTTCATGGGGTACACTGCATCTTCTAATACAGTACAGCATCCACTCGCTGTATAACTTGAGCTTTCACGTCATACACAATGCTGTTCAAAACATCAAATGGTACAGCGCAGAAGGAGCTTGTTGGGCTAATAGAGCTGCCCACTTAGTCCCATTTCCCTGCTCCTTCCCCTCAGCCCTGGAGTCTCTTTTCACTTCAAGGATTTATCCGACTGCTTTTTGATCATGACGATAGGCTCTGTATCCACCATCCTATCAGATGGTGCATTCTAAGACGACAATAACTCATCATGCCACTCTCGTCCATTCATCTTCAATCTGAGTCCTTTAGTGATCAACCCTTTCTCCCCCTGGAAACCATTTCCCTCCATGGTAAAACTGTTCATGATTTGTAAAAGCTCCATCAAATTTCTTTGTAATCTTCTCTGCTTCCTCAGGCCTTGCTGTAGACCTGAAGGCCTCATTTACAAACTGGGAAAGCCGTAGTGGAGAAGCTCTGTCTTTCTCCCTAATATGTGATGAAAGGTCATCAATCCAAACTGTTAACTCTGCCTCTCTCCAGAGATGCTGACCTGAGCTGCTGAATATTTCGCCGTTTTCTGTTCCCAATTTCAGGTTTCTGGTATTTTGCTTTTAGCTCATGAAGGGCTGACCAACAATCAAGATGCAAACAAGACAAGGTCATTTCTGCCCCTTGAGCCTGCTCCACCATTCATAAGATCTTGGCTGACCTGATTTTAACCTCAATTCTATATTGCTTCATAACGCCAATTATCTTTCATCCTCTTAGTAATCAACAATCTCTACCACTGCGTTAAAAATATTTAAAGGTTATGCATCCACTGCCTTTTGAGGAAGGGAATTCCAAAAATTCACGACCTTCTGAGAGAAAAGATGTTTCCTCATCTCTGCTTTAAATGGGCAACCCTTTATTTCTAAACGGGCAAACCTTTATTTTTAAACAATGACACCTAGTTCTCGTATGTTTATCAATCCCACATGTCTTTTTTAGATTGATGTATCTGGCAACTGCAGAGTCACCTATGAAACTGCCAGTAACCAGGTGACAAAGATCAAAGACCTTCGTAGCTGTGAGAGGCCAGAATCTGGATTGGGACTGTCCAATCAGGTATGTTCCATTTCACCGATTGGCTGTAGTATCGCTAAATAAAGCAACACAAGTCTTCTACCAACCAGTGTGAGTCAGTCTCAGTCTCTGCTGCAGTTTCCTGAAACACAAAGATTAGTTTGAGCTAAAATTAATGCTCAGGGGACTGAAGGCAAAGATTGACCTGGTTGGAAGATTGTTTGACAGTAGAAGACATGTCAGGACAATAGGTATTTTCTTGACTTGGATTTGTGTCCAACAAAAGGGATCTGGAATGAGAGTCCGCCATATTTATTAATCTTACAGATTTACCAACTTCCTTTAACACCTACAGGCACTGTTCTTTATTTTTAACTACCCCTCAATTAACCACATATTCTGGAAATGTTACAACCAAAAAGTACACTAACAGGGGTTTGGTGCCGTGCCGTGTTGTGTGACCATTGGATGTAAACAGTGGGCATTAATTTTCCTGCCTTTGCTGTACTCTTATAAGACCATAAGACATAAGAGCAGAAATTGGGCCATTCGGCCCATCGGGTCTGCTCTGCCATTCAATCATGGCTGATTTGTTCCTCAACCCCATTCGCCCGCTTTCTCCCCGAACCATTGATCCCCTTAATAATCAAGAACCTATCTATCGCAGTCTTAAATGTACTCAATGACCTGGCCTCCACAGCCTTCTGTGGCAGTGAATTCCATAGATTCACCACTGTCTGGCTGAAGAAGTTTCTCCTTATCTCCATTCTAAAAGGTCTTCCCTTTACTCTAAGGCTGTACCCTCGGGTCCTCGTCTCTCCTACCAATAGAAGCATCTTCCCAACATCCACTCTGTCCAGGCCATTCAGTATTCTTGGTGCGTTTGAAAATTTTTTTTTAAATCAATACAATAGAGAAGCCAATTACAAATTGAGCATGTTGTGAAAACATTTGCTAACTAATAGATATATTAATAAACCCCCTGCCCCTTTCTAAAGGAATACTCAGCAACCCCTCACCCAACTCCCATCCCTTACTCACTCCTTCATTCTCACACACTCACTGACTCACTCACTTAGCATTCTGTCTTCCGAATCCTCCTCCCTTCCTCACTCACTCACTCACACTCACTTGTTGATTCACTCACTCACTCACCAATGCCTCTTCCTAACCCTACCCACTCATGCATTCACTCACTCAGTAACTCCTCTTCCTAACTCTGCTCACTCATTCACTCTCACTCATAGACTCACTCAGCTTTCCCTTTTCTGAACCCTCCTCCCCCACTCAATCACTCACTCACATAGCCTCACTCAATCACTCACTCACATAGCCTCACTCAATCGCTCACTCACATAGCCTCACTCAATCGCTCACTCGTTGACTCAGTCACGCAACAAACCCTCTTTCCAGGTTTCTGTTTCACTCACTCATGCGTTCACTCATTCATTCACTCACACACACTCATTGACTCACCCACTCAGTGACCCCTCTTCCCAACTCTGCTCACTCACTCATTCATGAGCAACACCTCTTTCCAAGCCTCCTCCCCCACTTCACTCACTCAGCAGTTTTGCAGAGGATCTGGAGTGTACAATGGGGTATTGAATGTTACTATCATTGGTGTAAATACAAACTACAGTTTGAATATGTAAGAGCACTTCCCAAAATAGGAACATTAAAATAAACATAGAAACAAAGAAGATAGGAGCAGGAGGAGGCCATTCGGCCCTTCGAGCCTGCTCCGCCATTAATCATGATCATGTCCAACTCTATAGCCTAATCCTGTTTCTCCCCATAACCTTTGATCCCATTCGCCCCAAGTGCTATATCTAGTCACCTCTTGAACACATTCAAGTTTTGGCATCAGCTACTTCCTGTGGTAATGAATTCCAGAGGCTCACCACTCTTTGGGTGAAGAATTGTCTCCTCATCTCCGTTCTAAATCCTCTACCACAAATCCTCAGACTGTGACCCCTGGTTCTGGACACACCCACCATCGGGAACATCCTCCCTGCATCTACCCTGTCCAGTCCTGTTAGAATTTTATAAGTCTCTATGAGATCCACCCCCCTCATTCGTCTGAATTCCAGTGAAAACAATTCTAACCTAGTCAATCTCTCCTCATACGTTAGACCCGCCATCCCTGAAATCAGCCTGGTAAACCTTCACTGCACTCCCTCGAGAGCAAGAGCATCCTTCCTCAGAAAAGGAGACCAAAACTGCACACAATATTCCAGATGTGGTCTGAGAGCAGGAATGAGCTACATGACACATTGAACTTCAGTATGACCCCAGTTAATTTTCATGTCTCAAATCCACTCTCCCTCCTCTTCCCTATTTCACTTGATTCCCTAAGAGTCTAAAAGTCAGACAGTCCCAACCTTAAATTTATTCAACGATGGAACATCCATAACTTCCTGGGGCAGAGAATTCCAAAGATTCACAACCCTCTGAGTGAAGATATTTCTCCTCATCTCAGTCCTAAATAACGTTCCCCATGTCCTGAGACTGCGGTCTAGATTTCTCAATCACGGGAAACAATATCTGAGTATAGGTCAGCAAGTGTTTTCCAAATCTGGAATGTTTCGATTAGAACTGAGTGTTTTGTTCGGATATTTCTGAGGGCAGTTAAGAGTGAACCACATTGCTCTGGGTCTGGAGTCGCATGTAGGCCAGACTGGGTAAGGATGGCTGATTTCCTTCACTGAAGGGCATTAGTGAACCAAATGACCAAAAAACTGATGATTTCATGGTTACCATTAATGAGATTAGTTTTTAAATCTAGAGTTTTACACAAAAATAATGAACTGGATTTAAATTTCTCCAACGTGCAGGTTGAGATGTCTGGGTTACTAGTCCATTGACATTAACACCAAAGTTGCCATCATCTTACCAGACCATAGGGCCGCTCTCTTATTAGAGAGAAGCAATGAGGGGTGGTTTAACCTGATGGTCACCACACATCAGGCGAGATCAAGAAAGTGGGACCTTCGTGGTGACCTCAGCCAGTGTGGACATTGAACGCATGCTGTTGGCATACTGGGCATTAGTGCTGAAATCTTCAAGTATTAACCTGGGCACATGGTGACTGCCATTTGTCTCCCCTTTGGCAGAAGGGTAACTGCAGTTCTCCAAGTGAACAGCGGGTGGAGTAACGTGACATAGAAATATTTCTTTGTCTACATTCTTCTCCACATCCCAAAAGGAAAATGACACACATTGATCCAAATTGTCTTGCATACCACCAGAACAGTGCTCCAGTACCTTCATGTCCAAGTGTTACTGATTATTTTTCCCTCCTTGCCAGCTCTCCGGTTCCTTTGCGTGCACCATAACATTTAATGGTGACCATTATGTTTCTGTGGTAGAAAATTAAAATGGGCGTCTTGCAAATTATTCTTCAAGTTTTATTTCTAATCAATGCATCTTGTGATGCTGAGATCACGACGATATTACCTGCTTCCTTCTGTCAATTTTATTTTGACCCAGCAAAAGTTTCAGATCCCCAGCCGGACGGTGAAATTATTTAAAAGTAAAATGTTGCCAATTCTGGACATTCGGAAACGAAAACCAATTGTACTGGAGAAACTCAGCAGGTCTGGCAGCATGTGAGGTGAAGCACAGTTTCAAATCCGGTATGACCCCTCTCAGAATTAGCTATTTAATAGTAGGGGTTTTGAGAAGTGGAGACTGAATTGTTGGGTGTTTTGGTGGGTGGTGCAGGTTCCTGCTGGTAGTTGTTTAGGGACGTCCACAGGAAGTGTGAGTAATGGGGAGGGCATGTTTGAGTTGCATTGAGATGACTGCTGACCCCTCCCTCCCCACACAACCAATTGACTTGTGATGGTCACCCTGAGAAAGGTCAATTGGATAGGTTGGGCGGGGGCGTGCGGCACGGTGGTTCATTGCTTAGCACTGCTTCCTCACAGCGCCAGGGACCCGGGTTCGATTCCACCCTCGGGCGACTGTCTTTGTGGAGTTTGTACATTCTTCCTGTGTCTGTGTGGGTTTCCTCCCACAGTCCAAAGATGTACAGGTTAGGGCGGGTTGGCCGTGGGAAATTGTCCATAGTGTCCAGGGAACGTGCAGGTTCGGTGGGTTAGCCAGGGTAAATGTGAGGTTACGAGGGTTAGGTTGGGGGTGGGTAGGATGCACTTTGGAGTGTTGGTGCAGACTCAGTGAGCCGAATGGCCTCTTTACAGACTCTATGGATCACCTTCGACGGCTTCCCCTCCCATTACTGCTGTGTTAACTCTGGTGACCACGTGAGGATCCATTCTTGTCAGCCCCAACTCCTCCTGTTTCACATTTATATGCTGATCCCATTGTGAAACCATCTTCCAGACGTGCAGTGATAACACTGAACTCCAACTCAGCAATCCAATCCAGCTTGTCCAACATCCCGTGCTGGATGTGCAGAAATTAGGAAATGGGTACAAGCCCAAAAGGTAAAAATCTCTTAAGATTATGAAAGAATTATTTAGGAGCAGCATCATGAAATAAGGTAGTGAATATTCATCTGGCAGGCCCAGGGTGGAACACGAAGGAAGAACAGTGTGTCCAAGGATTCCTACAAATGGCACTTAGGATGGGCAGCCTTACCATGGAAATGCCCACGTCCTCACAAATATTTGTTTAATATATGTAGCTCCATGTGTATTTGCACATTGTTGTCATCATTAACACCTTCACCTTCCTATGCTGGGACATTTTTAAAAGTGCTTCATTGTCTCTAAAGTGCTTTGGAATGAGCTAGGGCCATGGAGGGCATGGCATGTTCTCCCTGGATTGTGAGGAGATTTGATAGACGTATTCAAAATCATGAGGGGTCTATGCAGATTAGAGGGAGAGGGAGAGAGAATCTGTTCTCCTATAATTGCAAGGATCAAGAAAAAGGCACAGATTTAAGATCATTGGCCAAGGAAGCAATGGATACAGGGGAAGAAACTTTTTTGTATAACACATGGTTAGGGGTCTGGAATGCACCATCTGAGAGTGTGATGGAAGCCGCTTTAATTGAGGTTTTCAAGAGGGAATGAGATGGTTATCTGAAATGGAAGAATGTGCAGGCTACTGGGAGAAGGCAGGTGAGTGACCCTACATACTTTTGCTCACTCAGAGAGCTGGTGCAGACCCACTGGACAGAATGGCCTCATTCTAAGCCATGATGATTCTATGATTATTACCATCCTTTGATGTTCACTGCCTCACTAGTGAAATGGCTCAAGACAGCAAGAGATTTACATTTCTGTACCATCATTCACAACCTTGGGGTGGCCCAAAGCATTAGACTTGCTGGGGAATTGTCATCATTTTTGTGATGTACACCAACACAGCAGCCATTAAGTACGTAGCATGATGATACTTTGTGGTGTTGGTTAAAGAGTAAACATTGAACGGGGCATGGGCGAACTCCCCTGATTTCTTTCAGTAGTGTCATGTGATATGGCAAAGAAATTCAAGGGGATTCATGTATTTATTGCAGCAGGAAAGATGTCTGCTGCATTGCACACTTATAGGCAACAGCTGTTGTACAACTTACATGTGGCTTCAGAGGAACATTTAAACTTGTGAAGCATAGCTTAATGTTGGAAGAGCCAAGGAGACCTGATGGAAGTACAGTAAACCTCTGAAAGGTTTATTTTCTTGCTCGTATGCATGCAAGTTTACTACAAGATAGTAACATCAGTGATCTTGAACTGAAGGAAGCTGCATTTTTTTAATATATTGAATTAGCTTCATTATCAGGTGTTCAAATGGGTACAGTGAAAAAGTTTACAAGTCGCCACTTATGGCACAAGTTCAAGTTCTTAGGGGAATAAAATAAAGAAATAAAAAATCCTGCATTACAGATTGTAGGAATAAATAAGAAAATAGAGAAATGAAAAGTTCAGACCACCAACCCTTTCAGCCCAGGCCACACTGACAAAACACCTCCAGTCTATGCAGGGCCCATTTCCTACATTATATCATTGGCTATATTACAAATCAAATTTCATCAGCTGTAGTGCACTTTAGGATGACCTCAGGGCTTGAAAGCTGCTATCTAAATAGTGTACCACATCTACCATACCAGTTAGCTTTATTCCAGTTCCTGGACCAGTCATTTGCCGAGTCACCCTTCAGACTGAGATTGTCATGGTTACTGTCCCAGAGTCCACACTGCACCATAGAAACATATCCATAATGAACAGTGTTCAGACCGCAGACACGATATTGATCTACACTTCCTCTGGACCCAGTTCCTGGAGGTCAAAGACATTCTCTAATGAGTGAAACTCACAGCTTTTGGTCGTGTGTACCCTTCTGCAAACTCTGATGCTTGACTCTTTGTCTACTGATCCTCCAGCCTGAGCTACTTCCTTGGCAGTTCTTTATCTGTGATGATTCACCATTGTCTTCCACTTTCAGGGGGGTGGGTTAGGAAAGCAGGCTCCAAAACTAGCTCAAACTGAACAGGAATCGAGCCCACTCTCTTTGTGTTCACACAAGGAATATAGACACCTAGAAAACAGGGGCATTTAGCCTTTTGAGCCTGTTCTGCAAATCAGCAGGATCACAGCTAATCATCCAACTCAGTCCCCTATTCCCCATGATTCCTTTATCCCTAAAAGTTATATCTAACTCCTTGTTGAAAACATTCAATGTTTTGGCCTCAACCACTTTCTGTGACTCAGAATTCCACAGGCTCCCCACTCCCTGGGTGAATGGCCTACCTGTATCCATTAAACTGTGAGCTCTTGTTCTGTACAGCAAATATAGAAGTCCATCTTGATCACCGTTCAATATATTTCAAATTCAGCTGTAGGGTCCCATAGTTCCTGAATGAGTTAAATCTTTATTTACATCTTAATTTTGCTTGTTAAAAATGAGAAGAAATAGGCATTTTCTTAATAACCTCACTCAACTATAACATTGCCTCACACTTTGGACCCTAATGCCCTCCATTATAATGGACTTCCAATATAATTAGGAAAAGCAAATGGAATTTTGGCCATTGATAGAAGAAGTAGGAAGTATAAATGTAGGGAAATTTTACCAAAGTTGTACAGAACATTGGTGAGACCATCTTTAGAGTACTGTGTACAGTTTTGTTTTGCTTATTTAACGAGGGTTATACATGCATGAGAAGCAGTAAAGGTTTATTCATTTGATTCCTGGGATAAAACAGTTGCTCTTTTAAAGAAGATTTTTTTCTTCCTGTGTATTTTCGTGGGATGGAACTGAGTGGCTTATTTGGGCCATTTCAGAGGGCAGTTAAGAATCAATCACATTGCTGTGGGTCTGGAGCCACATGTAGGCCAGACCAGGTAAGGACGACAGATTTCCTTCCGCAAAGGATATTAGTGAGCCAGATGGGTTTTTAGTTACAATTGGTAAACATTCTCATGGTCAACATCACTGAAGTAAATGTTATATTCCAGAGAGATAAATTGAGCAAATTATGCCCATATTCATTGGAGCTTAGGAGAATGAGGGGTAATGTTATGAAACATAGAGGATTCTGAGGGGACTTAACAGGGCAAATGCTGAGGAGATTGATTCAACAGATTGTCTCTCTAGGCCATTCAGAGGGCAGTTGAGAGTCAACCACGTTGCTGTAGGCCAGACCAGATGAGGATGGCAGATATCCTCCCCTAAAGGACATTAGTGAACTAGATGGGTTTTTCTGACAATTGACAATGGTTGTATGGTCATCAGTTGATTCATAATTGCAGGTTTGTTTTTAATTCATTGTGATTAATAGTCAACGATTAATACCACTAGGCTGTTTCCTCTGGAACAAAGCAGCCCGCTTGATTGGCACCAAATCCACAAGAATCCACTCCCTCCACCACCGACGCTCAGAAGCAGCAGTGTGTACTATCTACAAGATGCACTGCAGAAATTCACCAAAGATCCTCAGACAGCGCCTTCCAAACCCACGACCACTTCCATCTAGAAGGACAAGGGCGGCAGATACATGGGAATACCACCATCTGCAGGTTCCCTCCAAATCACTCGCAATCCTGGCATGGAAATATACCGCCATTCCCTGACTGCTGCTGGGTAAAAATCCTGGAATTCCTTCCCTAATGGCATTGTAGGCCTAGCTACTGCGCATGGATTGCAGTGGTTCAAGAAGGCAGCTCACTACCACCTTCTCAAGGTCAACTAGGGATGGGCAATAAATGCTGACCCAGCCAGCAATGTCCATGCGCCATGAGTGAATAAAAAAAACTTGTTTTTGCTCATGACGTAATCAAAAACTGAGCCGGGGACATAGTTTCAAAACGGGGGTGTCCTATTGAAAACGGAGATGAAGAAGAATTTTGTCACTCAGAGGGTTATTTATCTTTGTGATTCATGACTGTAGGGAACTATGGAAGCTAAATCACTGAATATTTTCATGGTGGTGTTGAGAGTTCAGGGTCACGGGGGACAGGCAGGAATGTGGAGTTGAAACCTGGATCAGATCAGCTCCCTTATTAAATAACAGTCTCGAGGGGCCAAATGGACTGTTCATTTTTCTTTTGCTTGTTACGTTCTTAGTTGACCACAGTCACCTTTCCCCCCCTATCCAATGGCCTTTATTCATAAGGCTATCAGGTCATCCAATGTGCTATGCATTTCAGAAGGTCAGAAGTCCTTCAATTTACTTGTAGTTTAAAGCAGATGTTTGATAAAAATGTTGGCTTTTAATTCAAGGTTCTGGGAGTTCAGTGGCAGCCCACCTGTAAAGGCCTTTATTCTGTGGAGAACGGCGTTATCAAAACAGCTGTCAGTGAGGAGGATCACGTGATCAGCCTCAATCTCCAATCGATGGTTGGTGCCAAGATCAGCTCAAGGTTTGCCAATTTTTTTTAACTTGTTCTTGTACATGGCTCTGGAATGGAAGGATAAGGTAAAAAATGCTGTATTTGTGTGCGGTTCCCAAGCCAAGACTCATCTACACACTTGGCAAGGTGTAAACAATCAGTTGGCATTGCTCAGCGATTCGGGGAGTACTCCTGGTTTCCAGGCCAACGTTTATCCCACAACAAATGGGACTGAAGGAAAAAAGAGCATCTGGTCCATAACCACTGTCTTCAGAGCCTTAGTGTGTGCAAAATGACTCCCAGGTAACCTCATATTCCAACAGGGACTCCACTTTAAAACCACTTTATTGTCCAAAGGGCTTTTGGTCATCATAAATGGCACTATATGAATGTAAGTTCTTTCTTTAAAAGGGGCCAGATTTTAGAAATCAACATTCTGTTTGCCTGCAAGTTAGGTTGTTTAAATTAAAATATTGAATTATAGAGTCAGACAGCACGGAAACAGACCCTTCGGCCCAACCAGTCCATGCCTGCACTTGGACCATATCCCTCCAAACATTTATTATACATATACTGATCCAGATGTCTTTTAAACATTGTAACTACCTGAATCCCCCACTTCCTCTGGAAGTTCATTCCACACATGAGCCACGCCCTGTGTTTAAAAAAAAAAATTGCCCCTTATGCATTTTTTAAATCTTTCTCCTCTATGCTTAAAAATATGCCCCTCGTCTTGAAATCCCTCACCCTAGGGAAAAGACACCTGCCATTCACCTTGTATGTATCCCTCATGATTTTGTAAAGCCTCTACAAGGTCATCCATGAAATATTGCTATAGATGTTGCTACAAATATGAGTTATTGTTGTACCAAATAAGCAGCATCGAAGACCAGCCTTCTTCTCAATGTCATGGCAACAGAAATGATGCTGCATTCCCTCTGTCTTTTGATCCCACCCTTACAAGGACTGAGTCTTTTTCTTCATGTAAACTGCTTTGAGTAACCACCAAAGTAAGTGCCCTCAAGAGTCAAGAAAGCGGTCCATTCAAAGACTTGAATCCACTTGTATTTACTAAGTGTCCTTCAATTTTCCTTTATTTAATGTTGAACCGTGAATCTGGAATGTTAGAAGAGGCTGTTAGTTTAGCCGCTTTTAAATGCGCCTTCTTTCAACTATGAAGGGGGCAGTGGTCATATTTCAAACGCACACCTGAAATTCCCAGTGGGGATATGACCGAAATTTCTTGGGACGGGCTGAACAGCCTCCTCTGATCACTATAACTATAACTAAATGGATGCAATGAAAGGCCGGTTCTGTTTCTCTCGGACACTCCTGAATTTCCAGCAGGGAGATCTTTCTTGGACATCCACAACCCGGATACTTAACCTGCTCTGGTTATTCATGAGAGAGTTGCACATCGAGACTAGAACCTGTAGCCACAGCGGCTGTGTGCTCAGTATGAGCAGATTGGTCTTCCCTTCTCTATGGCTTTTCACCCTTTCTCCTGAAGGTGCAGGACTACATTGGGCAGCACTTTGCAACAGTGCTCAATCAGAGTGACCAAACATGCTCCAGCAGGAGGCACTAATCTAGCATTTAAGAAGGGAAGCTGGCTAATTTTATTTCTTTCTCTCCTTCCTTGTTGCCTTCTCTGTTTTGCCATCGTCTTCTCCTTCCTTCTTGCTTTTCCCATTTTACTTGGGGGTTTGGGTTCTAAAATAAAATCAGTAAAATTACTGAATGACACATACTTATTACTTATCTCCTACTTTATACTGACAAGAACTGTAATGTTGAACTTTTAACTTGTTTCTTTAGTTTTCTACATTTTAACCTAATATTTAGTATCTAGGTGTCTTGTGCCTAAGATAGCATCAGGAATGGGGACTTTGTAAACTTTTCACTGAATCCCTGTACTTGAGTACAAGTGACAGTACAATCTAATTCTAACTCTATTGGCCCAACTGACTTTGTTTACTTCAGTACATTCATGGACAGCATAGTGGCTCAATGGTTAACACAGCAGCTTTACAGCACCAGGGATCTGGGTTCAATTCCACGCTCAGGTGACTGTCTGTGTGGAGTTTGTAAATTCTTCCCATGTCTGCATGGGTTTCCTCCGGGTGCTCCAGATTCCTCCCACATGTGCAGGTTAGGTGGATTGCCTGTGCTAAAATTGCCCATAATGTTCAGGGATGTGCAGGCTAGGTGGGTTAGCCATGGGAAATGCAGGATTACAGGGACAGGGTAAGGGTGGGTCTGGGTGGGATGCTGTTCAGAGGGTCATTGCGGACTCGTTGGGCCAAATGTAGGGATTCCATGATTCATTTCCAAGTATTACTGGTTCTTTACTTCTTTTTCTTCCGCTGGATCACCACAATATTGGCTATTTCAATCTTCTTGATATCCTCTTGTCAATCCTGTTTCAATTCTACAGTTACGTCTCTTGTCAGCTCACTTTTCCAACTGACCTTGGGCTCTGCTGTAATCCCATCTGCATCACTTGTCTCAATCCAGAGCTTCTGGCCCAGAGTCAAGTACGTTAACCACTACACCACCAGAACTTCTGATAGTGTTTGTTTCATTTGATGCTTTTTCTGTACCATTCCAAATGTGTATTAATTCTCCACCTACGAAACAAATGGAACAGCTTTGACTCCGTTTACTGAAATGATTATTTCTCATAACAGGCAGCAGCTTCAATACTTGAGTTCAGAACATAGGCCCGAAGAATATTATGGGAAAAGTCTTCAGGAAACATTGCACAACCTTGGAATCGATACACACTTACCTCTGACTGGTACTCTGGAAAAGGTTCCCTGCAAAGTGTGCACAGCTGTAAGTATCCACACTGTGTTCTACCATCACAAGTGTAATGAGTGGATATAATTTACTGTTTGTTTACCTTCAAATTCAATTCAAAAAGCCAGTTTACCTTTCATTCAATCGGCTTTTTTGAATCATGTTAGCTATGTCTCCCTGAGTGATGCGGGACGGAAGTAATATCCACTTGATTATTCAACAAATTATTAAGATTTGTACTTAGTTCCACCTTCAACATATTAAGACATCACAAGGGACTTTGTGTGGGTGTTAATAACCAACATTTAAACTGCGCTACATAATGAGATGCCACCTCTGATATTTCCAACTATATCATTTCCTATGCCAGCAAGTACAGCACAATGTTTAGACTGACACTTCAGAAAAGTACTTTTTTAAATTCACTCTTGGGACATGGATGTTGCTGGCTGGGCCAGTATTTATTTCCCTAGTTGCCCTTGAGAGGGTGGTGGTGAGCTGCCTTCTTGAAACGCCGCAGTCCATCTGCTGTAGGTAAACCCAAAATGTCTATAGGAAGGGAATTCTAGGATTTTATCCGAATGACACTGAAGGAATTGTGATATATTTCTAGCTCTGGGTTTTAAATGGCTTGGAGGGGAACTTGCGGGTGATGGTGTTCACATCTATTTGCTGCCCTTGTCCTTCTAGATGGTAGAGATTGTGAGTTGGAAGGTGCTGTCTAATTTTCTTCAGTGCATCTTGTAGATAGAGCACACTGCTGCTACTGAGTGTCAGAGATAGAGGGAATGGAGAGTTCCATTACACTCCTGAGTTGCACCTTGTAGATGGTAGACAGGCTTAATGGGGTTGGGAGGTGAGTTACTCACTGTAAGGTATTGACCTGCTGTTGTAGTCTCCGTATTTATATGGTGAGTGCAGTTCAATTTCTGGTCAATGGTGACCCTCAGGTTGTTAATAATGGGGTTTCAGTGATCACACCACTGAATTTCAATGGGCAACAGTTAGATTGTCCCTCACTGGAGATGGTAATTTCCTGGCATTTGTGTGGCACGAATGTTACTTGCCACTTTTCAGCCCAGTCCTGTATATTATCCAGGTCTTGCTGCATTTGGACATAGACTGCTTTAGTATCTGAGGAGTCACAAATGGTGCTGATCATTGTGCAGTCATTGGGGAACAGCCCCACTTTTGACCTTATGATGGAGGGAAGTTTAGAGATGAAACAGCCAAAGACGGTAAGGCCTAGAACACTACCCTGAGGAAATCATGCAGAGATGCCCTGGAGCTGAGATGATCCAAAACCACAACCATCTTTTTTTTGTGTCAAGTATGAGTCCAAGCTGGAAGGAGGTGTTGCACTGTTGGAGGTTCAGCTTTTGAACGAAACGTTAAACTGAAGCAGTATCTGTCCTTGCAAATGAACTTAAAAGATACAGTATTATTCAAGGAAGAGCAAGAGAGGTCTCCCTGATGTCTTGGTCCCTGAGTGACATGAAAACAAATTATCTGGTCGTTTTTGCTGGTTGTGGGACCTTACTCTTGCGTTTTCTATATTTCAACAGTGGCTATAATTCAAAACCAGTAGTTAATTAACTGCAAATTACTTTCAGACGTCTTATGCAATATACTAATATAAATTGATCTTTGGGGTAAATCATTTGATTTCTAATAACTCTTTCTCTGAAATTATATGCTTCTAATTTCGTGCAATAATTCGTTTCATCAACCCACTATGAAACACCTCCAGAGCAGGGAGGAGAAGACATGAGCAGGTAAACCTTCTGACCCAGGGGTACAAACATTACCACGATACCACAAGTTCCTATTACTCCTTGTAATACTTTGGAATTCCTCTGTTACTGATTCACCAACTAATGCCTTTCCACTGATAATCTTAATAGGCACTCATTTCTCAGTTAACAGATTGCTGCAAATGGGCTTTTGTGTTTGAGTTTGTCATTTGTAGTTCATGAAGAGTGAGTCTCTGGACACACCAGTTTGTGCAATGTGATCTCTTGTATGTTTTCGTTGTCATATTAAAAGATGCTCTTAAATTTGACAGAAACAGTTCCACACCAGTTTGATGAGTCTCTCCTCAGAATGATGAAATTCCCTCACTGTTTTTTTTTATTGATTCATTCACATGATGTGGGCATCACTGTCTTGAACTGCTGCACTCTATCTAATGTAGGGACACACAAAATGCGGTTATAGCGGGGCATTCTAAGATTTTGACTCACTGACAGTGAATGAAGAGCAATATATTTCTAAGTCATGATGGTGGGTGGCTTGGAGAGCAACTTGCAGCTGATGGAGAGTTCCCTTTATCTGCTGTCTTTGTCCTTCTGATGGAATTGGTCATGGGCTTGAAAGGAAATGTCTAAGGAGTCTTGGTGAATTTCTGCCGTGCATCTTGTAGATGGCAGACACTGCTGGTACTGGGTGTCGTTGCTGGAGGGAGGGAATATTAAAGCTGGTGGATAGGTTACTTTGTCCTGGATGGTTTCAAACTTCTTGAGTGTTGTTAGAGCTGCACCCATCCAGGCAAATGAGTTTTTAAGGTTTTGGAGTAGATCTGTAGCTCAGGTTGTGGGTGTTGAGGTTGGTTGGCTCGCCGAGCTGGTTTGTTGTTCCGCAGACGTTTCGTTACCGTGCTTGGTAACATCCTCAGTGCAGCCTCCGATGAAGCGTCGGTGTGTTTTCCCGCCTGGTTTTTAAACTCTGGGGTCCGTTGC